AAAATGCATTACCTGTGGGCCGTGAATTCAACATAATTCAAGTTTGGGTAGATTCATAAAACTTGGTATATTATATACAGTCATATAGGTTCAAAATATTTTTTTATTTGATATACCTAACACCAAAGCAGATTAAAAACTTAATCTATCATTTAAAATGTATAATTCAGTGTTCCATTTTGATATTTTTTTAACAAGAGCCATATTGTAGGAATTAAATTTGATTTATTTGAAAATGATCTAATACCGTATAAATAAAAAAGCGGGTAAGTGGATGTCGCTCTGCTGTACATTAGGGGGTGGGGTGGACCTCTGACTAGGGTAGGTTAAATTTGAATGCAATGATAGGTATCATTGTATACGAAAAACGCGGTGTTCGTCAATTGCGCCGGATTTGGGACACTACCTGTATAGTATACATCTATTGCGCCGCTATAAAAAAGGCATACATCAATTGCGCCGGAGCATTYGACAATGACACAGAGTGTCTTGGTTAGTTTTAATTTTTATAATAATTATATTATGTTATAATATATTAGTTAAATATTAATTATATTTTTTTTATAATAATTTGTACAACAATAAACAAAAATTTATACATTACACACAATTTAAACAATTTGTAATCTAAAAGTCGATGACTATRTAAAAGTTTAAAATATTTGATATAAAAGTGACTTATCTGGCAACATCAGATTCATCATATTGTGAGGCAATTAAAAATATGTCGAAAAAATGGTCAAATATCATATTTCATTACACACGTAAAAACCATAGGTTCAAAACCTATTTTTAAGTTCCTTATTTACCAAATATATAACAATGCTATTCTTTAAGTTTTGTAATCAATAGAAATAATAGGTATTACACACAGTTTTGTGCTTAGATAATTTTTTTGTATCTAGATATAGATAAGATATATGAACTCAAAATAGTCAAAATATATCTAGATAGAGATACAGATAAAATCAATTTTATCTAGATGAAAATGAGATGATTTTTTCGAAATGTTATTCTTAAAACATGATTTTGTTAAATTTTATTTTTTATATTAGGTTTGTAGAAAATATTAATACAATTATGAGTTATGACTATATATCTCGATGACGATACAAAAGATTGATGTATTATATATTGTTTTTGTACTAGGTATTAACTAATATTATAATCCCACAAAATGTAAACAAATAATTTTCTATTTTCAATTTACGTTACACTATAAATTTTAAAAACGTATATTAAATATACTTTAAATCAAATCGAATACMTTGAAAGGTATATTATCTTAGAACCATTATCAATTATTTATCATACTAACAATTTGATGGGATCCTAATGAAACCCTTTAGCAAATTAATATAAAACATCATAAATTCATAACTATTGTCACCAAAACACAATGTATAATTATATGGCGATATTTAGTTTATTATGTTTGATACATTTGTTAAAAATTAAATTAAATTTGTTAAATTTATCTAATATTATTTTTAGTAATATTAAATTTTTCATAAACATATTATATGTTGCAATAGGGATGCATGAAAGCTATTAAGTATTACTGCCGTTTTAGAATATAACAAATTCTTCTTCTGGGCTAGAAGTATTTTTATTAAAAATTGGAAATATTATTTAACTATTGAAAGATAAAAATCGATACGACTGTGAGTATTGGAAAGAAAAAAATAACGTCTTAAACCACTAAATCCCTATTAGGATCATACATTTGATATATTTTAATTAGTTTAAAAAAAAAAAAAAAATGTTAATTTTCCGTTTATTATTCCGTGTGTGGACTTTGCATGCAAAGTGCAGACCCCTCTAACACACTCATCTCGACAATACACCACATGTGACAACCACGTACTGCAGCTATTATAATAATATGTATGTACGAAAGCGTTATACGACGCATAGTGGCCTCATTTAATTTCCAACTGTATAACAGTCTGGATGTAGAAACGTACCTACATTACGGYCAGCGATCGTAAACAGATTCAACGGGTAGACCATTTAAGATGTTTATTCAGGTCACACGTCATCCGGATAAAACCAATATCCCTTAGCCAAATTCGTTATCTTGACAGTGAAAAAACGAATTGCCCCGTTTTTTTTATTTTTATATACATCTGGTGTAGGTATWTTCTTATTTTTTTCGTCCAGATCCCGGAATTATATACGCATACATGATATATAAATTTATGTAATACATAAATGCGTACATACAGAGTGATTCACGTTGCATGTTCAATTCCATCTCATCATCACCCCATCTTATCTCTGAGTGTTGCATATTAAGGTGTAATGAAAATAATAATGATATTTGTAATTTTATYTTTTAATGGAGATTCTCGTTARAAAAAAAGTTTGAACATCCACATTATCAATTTCATAAGAAATCTAAGTATTATATTATAATAATGATATGGTCTTAAAGACATATATACTTAATATATTTTAGAAAATCAAAATGTTTGAGTAATGCGTAATTTGAGGGTTAATAATTGAGTTTGTATATATTTGAATCAGCATGTATATGTTCATAATATACACACGTAACGATAACGCGTACGCGGTACGTTATATGTATATGCACTTTGTGGCCGAATTCGAACAGCGACAAAGGACGTAATGGTCGCAACGGTAGGATAAAAGAGGTACAGTCAGAATAAAATACGGAAATCCGGAGAGTCGCTTCGCAGCCGTTGTATGGCGTGGGTGGAACAGAATATAGGAGCGGAAAAMCCTATAAGGTGACTATTATTCAAGTCTTGTCCCGGTGCAACAATCTTTTCACGGTGACATTATTATTTTCTTTTTCATCCACTCTCTCCCACCTATCATTTTTTCTCCCTCTTTTGCGTTTCTAAGGTCGACGGCGGCGACTGTCGTTATATAGTGGAAAATTGAATTCGGATGTGTCTTTTCCCACAGCATCCGATAGAGAGACTTCCTTCGCACTAAAAATCGTAAATTTTTATGATGTAAAAACGTCACGGGCAGAAGAATAATCCTATGTTTTTTTTTTTTTTTTAGAGTCAATTACATATGCGTCGAGGGACTTGGAACATCGTTCAGACTGACTGGTGGCTGCAGAATAACCGGTAAATACGAAATACGTATTTTATTTCTTTTTCTTGCGCGCGCGCGCGCACACACACACACACATACACAATCCTCTCCCACCAATACTCTATAATATTCATTTTTATTCGATCAATTATTATTTGCAATACGTATCTACTTTTCGGAATTCCTATGCGTAACAGAATATTTTTCACGCAGTTATACGTCATAATATATTAAACTTCATTAATCACGCAGATCCAAACTACATTAGTTAAGAATTGTATAGTAAAGGCATTAAAAAATGCAATATAAATGTATTATAATAAATTAAGATWTTCTCTAGTTACTTTTCAATACAAATAATAACAACATGTTTTGTACTTAAAAATAATTAGTTAATGATCAAATTAAAATATTAAAAAATACTAAATACCATATTACACTTTACTATCCGTATTATCTTATATTATTAGCTATTATTATAAATTATCAAAAAAGAACTGCGTGATACGTCCTAAGGCTGTCTAGCTTTACGTAAACGCTTTGAATACAGCTCATTAASTTTTGTTTCCGACCACATAAAAACACAACAATGACTAGAATAAATCTATTATTCAATATTAATKAACTAAAACTATTTTTATTAATATACTGCAGTTTGTGCTCACTATAATGATGGCTAAAAATATTAGCTGGCAATATTTTAGTGGTGTATTTGTGTACTATTCAACTGCTGACTACAAAATGTTTATGATTAATTATTTCAAAAAATGTATTATTGAATATTAATGTTCAGATATATTATAGTTACTGCAATACCAAAATTACTTATAATATGTTATACATACATCTATGTTTCTACGAGTAAAATGTCTTATAAACCATAAATCATTTATGGTGATACTATATTTTTAAACTATTGATTCCAAATATTTTATTATTTCTAATTTACTAAATTCATTAGGTATCTATTGCATTT